GTTCTGAAAGCTTTGCATTCATTTTAAGATAGAAGAATTTCTTTTATGGTATAATACCATTTCGCAATACTGTAATTGGCAAAGAGAGATATTCTGATTTTCATAAGTTACGCAGTCACAGCTGAGAAATGGTAAGTACGATATTTGAAATCATGAAAATATATGCGTAAACATATACTTTTACAATTATAACTGTACGAATTTATGTAAGAAGCTCTTCTTTCATACCAAAATAATTTAAGATAAGTCCCATAGGGGTGCGTTCTACTATTCCCATACCCTCTATTTTGTTAACCAATTTGTTCTTCAAGTTCCTCAACCTCAGTGATGCATGTACAAAAGTAACTGAAATATAAATGATAAATTATAGTCAGTCCAATGAAATTGATCCAACATTTTTATATTTTCACATAGAAAACGTACCGCAGAAGGATAATAGAACGCCAAACAGTATAAAGAGAACTGAGTACACAGTAAACAGAATATAGACAATAAGAGCAATGGTAAGAATTACTCCAACCTGAGGATAAGCTTTCTTGAATTTAAGCAACTGTTCTTTTTCATTAAACAAGTACATGCAGTAAATCCATATTGCTCCCATTGTTGATATACCTACAATTCCCTTCATAGGATGGACCGATCTGGACAATGAAAAATATATTATACGAAACCTACAAAGTTGGTAAGAGAAAATAATATATCGTTTCTAATGTACTTACACTACGACAAGTATAATAGCGATCCACAGGTAAAGATAATTGGTTTGATAATAAATAAGATTACTGACCACTCTATTGCCCCATTTTTCTAAATCCCTTACATTGGGAATTTGAAAGCGTGATGGTTCCAAAAGAAAATCGTTCAAACCACGAAGTGGTGGCAGCTCCCAGCCCTCTTTTGTGTCCAAACCCTTTGGTGTCTTTATTTTATCCATTATTACAGTAAGTCAGAATTTTAATTGGAATTAAAAGACGAGATCCTTATCAATAAACATCGGTCGTTCTCTTGGTATTTTTGGACGATGACGACTAAAGCCGGATGTCGCACTAGCTTCGTGAAACCGACACGACAGTTCTGTTCGGAAACAATTAACTGTATGAGTAGATTAGTCGAAATGTGTTGTTAGAAAACAAAATTGGACGTTACGTCTTATAATCTTCAAAGACTTTCACATCGCACAAAACAATAGCATTAGCTTATATTTTAATAGATACAGATATCTAAGTATAGTACCTAGTTAATTAAGTATTCACTTATCTGCTGTGTATGTATATTATTCGTATGTAACTGAGCAACGAGATTGACTTTAAATTCTTTCACTGTGCCACACCAAGAGCCAATTCTCGAAAGGGTCAAAGGGTTGCACCATTAGTTGTTACAGACAAGATATATATTTGTGTGTATAACATCGATGAGTGTAACCGTCCCGCACCCCGCCAAGGCCGCTAAGTGACCTCCAATTCCAAGTACCATCGTTCCATCTGCCTTACTCCATCCCTATTCGCTTCTTCACGAATCATGTCACACCATTTACCCTTTGTTGCCCTTTGTGCCCTTTGTGTGCCACATGGTTTGAATATTCTGTACCTCAATAAATCAGGCATTACTGATAGATTTTCTTATTGATTTCTGACGTTTAATACTCCCGTTACGTTCAAATGTTATTTATTTGAAATTTCGCATATGTTCGCTGGTACTTCGAAGTAATACCAAGTGGAGAACTGCAGTTGTGGTCTAAATAAGTCAATTTGTCTTCGAATTATAATTTTCATTTAGTACCCCAGTCACCATCGCAATTTGTCAGGTAGCAATCAATGCAACATAAAATCCGCGAGAATAAAATGAAATAAAGAATATATTTATTCAAAATTGAAAATGAATACAACTTCTATCGCCAAAAGTGAAAGATATTAATATGTACAAAATATTCATGTTCGTTTATTACAAGGCTGTACCTTCAAAAATAAGTTTACAATTTCTGTAGCTTCTTCGAAAGCAATTAAAGAAATAAAATACAAATTACCATTGTTCTATGCTCACATCTTTGAACTAAAATCTTGAAACTAAGAATTACACGTGGAGTTTGATATTTACTAACGACTGCTAACGAATAAAGAAACATGTAACTATCATGGAAATGTGAATACAATTCAAAGAGTAGAACGATCGTTTACGATTTCTAATTTCTACGTGTTACAATTAATCTTACAATTGTTTTGTCGCATATATTTATATACGTAAAAATTATAATACAACGTATACAGTAGTTTAAAAAAAAAGAAAGTTTATTATTTATTTGCGAAATCGTAAACTTTTAAGCTGTACACATTTCAGTCTGCTCGAAGGTTTGTAGCCGTATTTATTGTAATTTTGCTTCTTCCTTCGCTTTCCAGAGGATCAGCTCCATACAAGCAATGGCATCCTCTTTGCTGTCGTGTCCGCCAACTGTAAAATATCGGGAAAATTAAAATGTCTATTTGATCAGAAATGCTGTGATGAGTGAACGTCTCTTTACTGACCATCATTTTGAATAATTTTTCTTAAATATTCTGAACAAAGATTTTTTAATGCCCTCTTTTGTGGATATCCATTCTTGTGGGGAAACATCACGCTTGTATCTACTACAGTATCGTGCAAAAGCCGCAAGGCTTTTAAATCACTTTCGAGACTGTGGCCCACTAATATAGTTTTTTCTGAGAACATTGTTAGCAGCGTTGCCTGAACGTCTAACAACGATGTCGTCGTGTTTTTCATATTCTCTTCCGTAATCCCAGAAAACCTGTGTAATCATATGCAGAGATATATATATTTAGATGAAAGAAAAGGAAAAAAATGAAAATAAAAGATATACGTTTCGTTAAATTTTATGTTACCTTGTATTGTAATCGATTATAGTATTTTGAGGTTTGACCAATGTCTCGTATGCTACATTGCAATCTTCATCAATGACTGTTATCCTAGTTAATTCCAATCCTTGCGTCGTATAACACATCTCACAATCCAGTGCATACACTCCTTGTTCCTCGGTAGGCGCGTCTTAAAATAAACAAGACAATATATAATCAAATGAATACGTAATAGGGGTATAGGTAATACTTCAAGCTACAAATTACTTTTGGGAAAAGTTTTTACGTAGCCACGGAGGTTTTCGTAATCTACGTAATCCCAAACGTGAGTTCTCGCATCGCAGCAACCTGTTGCAGAACCATATTGTTGGCAACAACTGTATTTGCTTTCACCTCTGATCGTGAACTTTCTACCCCAATGATATATGCAGTTTTGAGATTGTACAGCAAGTCCTTGCTTATCGACCATGTAACTTTGACCGCATCGACAACAAATCCTTTCGTTAGGCACTTTTGACAGAACACTTTGATTGCGTGAATTAATTACGTAGACTTTCGCGCGGCCCTAGAATGAGTCGGAATCAAGTATCGTTCAATGAATATATAATTTTATTTTTTCGCAACGCTCTTTACGTTCAATTACTTACCTTTTGACCGTCTGGATGCGGCCGAGGAAATCCATTATCTCGAAGCTGCTGTTCCGTCATTATCCATTTCTTCATCATATTGTAAAGAGCCGTCCCTTTAAATTCCGTTACAGATCTCTTTGTCCTGAGAACACTCCAGGAACCCTTTGACTTTCCGGCAAGTACCGCCTCATGGGATACAATACTGCTACTCGATGGCATTGCCGCTACATTATTTTCTATAGAAGAATTTTGTTCAACTTCTTTCCTCAACCTATGCGCAGCAAGCATACACGAATTTTTATAAACAGCTAATGCTTTGCATCTTTCGTGACAAGCGTACTCTTCTTTAGTAGCACGTTGTGCCGCGTCCTCGGCATTAGTATAAATTAATACGCACACATCGTGCATCATGTTTAAATAATATTGACGAACGTTTAAAGGAAACTTTTGCGTGGCCACTTGTAACGGTTCAGGGCGCATCAATTGAGGAATCTGAAAGACGAAACATTTTTATATTGTTACAATACAAATATACACGGTCATATAGAAACAGATTTAGAATAATAATACGGACTACTTGTGGAACATGAGCAACGCGTACACCACTTTTCGTTGTTTGTGCAGCCGTTTTACAATTATCCATTGCTTTTGCTTCCATCATCTTTCCTGCATTTTCTGTCACTTTTCTTTTTTCTATCGTCAGAGACTTGGCGTATGGTACGTGAGCAATTCTAATACGACCTACAGAAAACACCGTCGAACAAAATAAGCCTCGAAATATGTTTGCGTATTTAAAAAGAATAAGATGATTGTATTACCATTTCCATTCAATTTGATGTCATTGCTTCCTATCGTTTCGGTACAATTTCTCCGAATATCTTTCGGAACGCTGATGCTTGAACAAGTTGTCTTTTCTGCTACATCTCGCATTAAACGCCACCTTTCATACATTTTTTGGTGGGGATTTACAGATTTTTTCACTTGTGGAGTGAGCCCAATTTGCCTTGTAACGCACGTGGCTGCCGATGGATGTGCTACCCTCTTTTTGCCAATCTCTTCGTTCTGTTCCTTTTGTTTTTCGTCCTCGTTTTCACGCAACGTCGAAGTTTCCGTTGGCTTTAACCGTTTCGGTACTTGATATTCCTTGTGAAAACATTTCCAATATAAAGATTAATACATTCTAAATACATTTTGTCGATGTAGTTCCAACAAAATCAATTTACTATGCATACCTGAAATATTTTTAAGCATTCTTCTTGTACGTCATGATCCGAATCGGATGTACTGAAGAGTGCATCGTCAATTATACTACTGTAACAATTATCATTCACGTCGTCATCGTCATTCATCGAATCCAGACGAACATTGTCCAAAGAGTTTGCGGATTTGTCGATTGAATTTCTTTCATTTCTTCTCTCCACATATTTATCATCAGACTTCCGATTTGTTCTTAAATGTTCACTACTTTTATCTGTTTTACTTTTTTCACTCTTTGAATGCTCATGTCGCTTATCCGATCTGTGATGATCTCCTTTTTTATCGCTTTTACTTTTCTGTCTACTTTCATTCTTCTCCTTATCCCGTTCTTTTTCTTTATGCTTATCATGATCTTTGCTTCTCCTTTTATCTTTATCGTATTTTTTGTCTTTTACGTCTTTACTACTTTCACGCTTCGAATGGTTTCTATCCTTACTCTTATCTTTACTTTTGCTATGAGAGGTAGAATGCGATCGTTCACTCGATTCGTGTTTATTCTTGTACTTTTTATGAGATGAACTATGATCTTTTTGATTCTTTTTTTCGGTTTTATCCTTCCTCGCGCTTTTATGTTCTTTTATATCCTTAACGGCATCTTTTTCTACATTTTCTTCCGATACTTTTCGATCTGTATCGCGCTGAGGAAACGCGCTCACAGTTTCTTCGCTTTTCGGAATCTTATTGCTCGGCTTATTTTTATTATACCGGTCGTTAATGCAGTCTATGCGCTGGAGATCGTTCGAGCACTTGAATTGCTCAAAATACCGATGGGATTCTTTCTGCATAAACGACGTTACGCGATCGTTAGATGCAATACTGATTTTGCTCGTTTCTTCGCTCTTGGCTTGATTATTGCTATCATCTTCTTCGTCATCAGAGAATTTCGGTTCTATGTCTGTGAAAGAATCTTGAGACACTTCGCTAGGCGGTTGTACATCGCAAGTAGTTCGTGCACACGCGAGTGCTTCGTCCATCATATCATAGTCAGCCTCGATCTGATCCAGGGGGGATCCATTTAATTCGTCAGCCGTCTTTAACGGAGCTTTTATTTTCTTCGGTACATACTCTTCTCTTCTTTTCTTACTCCTTGGGTAATAAGCTTCTTTAAGCTTAAACAAATAGTCATTTGAGCTGCCATCCTTACATGAATTCGAATTTGACGAACATGAATCTGACTTGAACGTCGGTATGTAACTTTGTATGGAATCTCGAGTTTCTGAATTAACTATCACAGTGGGCTTGTATTTAACTTCGACATTTTGAGATTCTGAAGATTCGGTACCAATATTTAACCAAGGTTTAATTCCATCCGGAGAACATTTACGTTTCACAGCTACTCTACTCTCCCTGGTTGGCATGTAAGATACGATTGGTATATGACGTTTTTTAAGTTCTGCAATTGGCGTCGGATTATAAACACATGGAAGTGGTTTGTTCACAGCCAATGGCTCTGTTCTTTTCTCTCCTGTGTTAACACTGACGTTATCTAATGTACTGGATGATCCGGGTGTCAAAGTAGGTTTCAGTCCTTCGACTACTTGAGAAACGACATTTTCACAAGAAAGATTATCTATGTCTGAGACAGTTCGAGTACCAAGAACCTTTTGAACAGCTTCTGTCACTAATTGTTGTAAAACGTCTGAACTTGATGCTACTATCGCGTTGGTTTTCGATCCTTCAACCTGATCCGCGGAACGATTTTCCACTGCTTCAGTTGCCTCCACGGCAACTCCAGCATCTTCTGGAATAACATTTCACGTCGTCAAATTTCAACATGCCTCTTGAAACTCCTTTTTATGGTTTTACGAAACATAAACAAAAAATGATGGATCCTTCAACTTACCTCGTTTTGAATGCCTAAAATGACAATAAGGTCTTTCGCACGTTCCATTATCGTAAAATGGACAGTTGATAGTTTTAAAGTAACCAGTCGAGGGCAACATAACTACTTCATTGCGTTTTGTTCTTCCGATCGCTCATTCTTCGAGCAGAAATTGTCGTAGAGAAGTGTCGTGCGAGATCATTGACTTTTTAAGCAAGACCGAAGTTTCTTCAACTTCCTTTGTACATCGAATACGAAACCTCTCTACACGTAGTCCTCATGTATTTGGCGAGTACCCAATGGGGACGCATGAGTTTTTCTAAGACGCATCGTAAACGTGAACAAATGCAAATTTGAAACGAACTGAATCGTATCGAAACACAACGAGGGCGCAGGTTATGTGTTATTAACTTCTATGCTATGTTATTTGCATGGATGTATTTGTAGATATTATGTGTTGTTCACTATTCGTTGTTGGACGTGTATCTATGTATATATGTAAGGTCGGGTTCAGAGTTCAGAGCTCGGAGAATGGTTGGGAAAATGTAGGTATTTGTCAAATGGTTGACTAGGCTCACGGGACGCTACGAAAAACTCAATGATTCATTTACGGACTTTCATTTAAAGGAATCATCGATCGTAAAATGCGAATATATAAACTATTATCACCGAGGATTAGGATATCTCTTTGGTGCTATTACATAGATATATTTTTATTAATCGTGTTTTAAATTTTTTTTCACATAATCTCAGATCTTCATCGATCGCAAATCTAGCTCGCTAATTTTTAAAAAAGATGGCACGATTCCTTCGGCCACGCAAAATTATTCCAATGTACGTTCTGCAAATTTCAAGTCACATTACGAACGATTTCAATTGGAAAAAAACAGCTGTAACATATACATAGATCGCACTTTATTCTTTCGTTAACTGTGAAGAAAAATTTCACTTCTCTCTTACACAATTGAATGAACCTTTATGTTTTCTATAATCTCGGGATATGGATCACAAATGATACGTACATAACGAGTTAGACAATTATATAAATATATGTACTGATATATTTTTAAATATACTATAACAAAATAGTACAAAATACAACAAGCGTTTTAGCAACATGGCCATTACTAAATCAACCACAGTATGCCAACAACAATTGATTTATGCACGTATCTATGTACTATGTAACATAACGTCCTTCTCGTGTAATAATTACCTATTAAAGATTATCTTATCGCGCTGAAATCTTATATGATAACGGCAATGAATAACTCGTTTGCGCAGATAAAATTGATCATTAGTTCATCGCGAATGGACGATTAATTGCTCTTCTTGTGCGTTTTCGTTTTCTGTTGTAAACGATGGTAATTCCGCTTTGGTAGCCAATTGCAAAGCATGGAACCACCTAAAATATATCTACCTATGAGTAACCGATCGAATCGTAAGGGATGCGAATCAACGAAAGTACTTACTTTTGTTTGTCTTCATCTGACGATGCTTGTAAGTAATAACTTTTTCTGGAATGATGCATTTTAAGCGCTTTAGGCCTGTCCTTCGAACTTAACGGATCTTCCTCTGGTAAATGAATACCGTCAGTAACAAGGAAACCAGGCATAGGAGTCGCCGTTATAGCCATATTTTCAGATTCCGATTTAAACGTATATAAAACGAAGTCTACGTGTAACGCGAACCATCGTCGTGTCCAAGGTTTGCTCGGTTGAGTTTTCAACATGAGATATCCAGATATGACGGACGACGCGCTTGCTGAAACTTGTAATAAAGTTGGTATTGGACCGGTCGGCGATGTCGAAGAGGGAGACTTATTGAGCGATTGTGTCAAGGCCGCATGACACAGACGACAAACCCTCATATTCTTATTATCTTCGAACAATAACTTTTGATTGGAACATTTACCGCAAACAACCTATTAACGATATAACGATAAAATGTACATAGTTGCATAAATTGGGATAAGATAATAACATTCTTCATTCTGTAATTATTGAAGTTTCGATAAAGTTGCGAACTGTTTCCGAACAAATATACTCACTATTCCACAGGCTCTGCAATTGTGCTTTCTTCTCATTACAGAGAAAATTACATCGCATATCATACATCTAGATATATCATCAGTCTTCACAACGAGCGTTTTAACGTCTCCGGTTTTTAGGCTCGCTTTCCTTTTCATCATTTCTTGCATGGTTTCGAACAGTGCCTCTAACCACGCTGTTTTTTCTTCGGCTGCATGCGTGTACAATTCTACGCTTTTATATGCGTCCCTTATGTAAAATGAATTTGCCGTTTCGAGATTGTCACCTTCGATTACATTTAAATTTTCGATAAGAAATTTAGCTCTTAACCGATATAAGGGCCCGGGTATCAATCTTATCGAACAAAGCAGTAAAAGATCACTAAACTGCAAAACAGAAAAAAGAAAAGAGAGAACTCTTCGATTATTAAAGTTCAATAAGTACACTCGCTTCTTTATATTTGGTATTAATAATAGTTTAACGGTAGATATATCAATTTTATTGTTCTTTACGTACCAAAAATAAATGACGTTCTTGGTGATCACCGCTCCTCGCTGAAATTTTAACGATACGACCCTCTTTTACAAGTTCCCGCGTGGCACTGACTAGATCCGTCGTGTCGTATATGTTTTCTTGTATTTCGAGAAGCTTTTTGAACTTGTCAATCTTCTTCATTGCATCGTTCGAGTGATTAGCAGCAGTAGATACTAAATCCAATGCCTCTACGAGAAAGAAAGCCGTGTCTGTTCGTTTCATTCTATGATTATAATCGTCGCCATTTAAGGACGTCTATTTAAACGTGCCCCGTTTAATAGAGGTTTAAATAGAAGTCGATCCTTGCTAGACGCGCATTATTTTATGCGCGGAAGTAATTCATCGAATCGAAAGATCCTTACTTTTGGTGTCCTCGTAATCAGCACTTTCCTCTGTTAGGTTCTTTAAATAATCTTTCAGAAGGAGTTGATATCTTGGTAACCTTTGTATTGGACTCAACATATGATGAGGCAGTGATAATTTGGCGCATTCGTCCATCTTTTGAATCTCGTTGATGACCGCAGCGAATCTGGGAATCTTCACTTGAAGGCTCTGTATCAGGTTCATTGCGTAGTCGAAATTTTTCACGTATTCAGTATACATCTTAAGAAATGGAGCAAAGTTTTTCATTATATCTCCGATTCTGGAGTCCGTTTCCCAATTTTCCATTCTGTGTTGAAGTTGAGGCAGTAAAAAATCGTTGTGAAATTTGTAAATTGACTTGATATTGGAGAACATGTGTTGAACCGTCTCTGGAGGGAACATAGGATGCGCTCTATTCTCTTGGTCGATTTTGAATTGGAACACCTGATCAATCAATCGCAAAACTCTAACGTAATTTTCTTCAGTGGCCAACAGTTCTTCGGCAACTCGACGTGCTCTTTTGCTTTTCGAATCTTGATGATCTGTTCCATCGTCTGCTTTCAATTCTGAATCATGATCTACCGTCGTTACTGCCGAATTCGTTTCCGACGATTTCACCCCATCAGATTCTTCTTCACTTTCGGACTCGCTTATTGTATAGGACTCTGTTGTATACCTGTAAGTACGTACATAATATAAAACACGGATTAAGAATCGAAACTTTTCTTTTTTGTAAAGAAATAGGCGAAAGTAATAACTTACCTACTACTTCTATATTCTAATACACTATGCGATACTCGTACGAATGGTACTTGCTCGGAGTTCTCTTCATTTTCTGCTTCGGTCTCAACACTCTCCGTGGAATCTTCGGTTGACATTATGAAGGATCGAAATCCTGGGAAGCCTCCGAACGAAGCGATTTTACGAAACGAATGTCCATTATAGTTCTGTTGCTTTTTACTATCTATACTTGTATCAGAATTTCGAGAATCATTGGTTTGCAATTCGTTCAATTTCTTCGAGTCTGATTCTTTGCTCGTCGCATGATCAGGCTCCAATTCAGTGTAAAAGGTGCTGTTCGATGTTTGTGGTTTTGACGCAAACATCTTAAGGGTTTTACTAAAGTCAATTCTTTCTGTTGACTTTAGAAACAGCCTGGTCGTCCAAAGCGAGGCGTCCGGTGGTTGATCCTGCTGCATCCTAAATATGAATTCGATTAAGTAAAATAAACTGCAGTGCGTATATCAAAAATATAGAATTTTATTTTGTAATGATAATTAACGTGGGTAAATCAAAAGGAGACAAGATACCTCATGTCTCTTACCTGTATGCAATCTAACTACTTCACTTATCAAATACATTGCATTCAAGGTAATCAATCTTAACTGATAAAACCTACGAGAGGTTGGTTGCATTACATGTCCATGTATACATGTATGCACAGTACTTGCACATTATTATAAATGTATCGACAGTATAAATTATGTAACTGCGTGAAATTCAATTTATTTTTTTAATGCACAACTTTAGACCACCCGAGGCAGAGTAGTATCAATTTGCGAACTTAGGCCAGTTATTTTAATGTCCCGTTTAGACGGTTCCTCACGAATTTTTCTTTCATCTTTGCATTTGGTTCACTGGATTAAGAAAACCTTGTTAGCGACGTTAACAATAATTGGCAAGAATAACGACAAAATTTTACTTACGAAATTTCAGTTTAACATTTCGATTACAGAATTGTAATAGTATTTATGACTGACAACACTAATATGTCCTGCTAACACAGTGTCGTGGGACGTCGTGGTCGTGTATGTAATTTAGTGCATACGGGGTGAACCGATGAAAGAACTGCTATTCGAAACAAAACCCATCTTTTAGACCTGCTTCACAAGTATTGTAACTACTACTAATCTTTCCTTCTCGACGTACATAAAGATATCTGTTTAAGAAGTCTTATCAAATGCAAAGATTAGAGAGATGATTTGAATAAAATCAATACATGTTATTTCCAATTGTTGCTTTTAATAAGTCACCCTATATAATTGTATTACGTACTTGTGCGAACGTAGATACATACACCCACTCTTCAAGGATCGTATAATTTATCCCGCACGGCTCGCTACCCCTCTTTTTCGCCCGTATTTCGATTCCCACTACTATTCTCCTCATGCGCCTTCGCTGACCATTCCTAGCATACCCCCATCAAGTACCAGTCCCCATCATGGTCGCGGCGTTTCCATTTTCTGGCCGAGGGATAAATTATACGATCCCTGCTACTCTGCCATACGATCCCTGCTACTCTGCCTTGCCACTGAACTCTGAACCAATGATGAGGCACGAAATCCCTCACGACGGTAATGGGGATAACTTAGCATTAGTGGAAGTGAGAGAGAGCATGGCTCATTGGATTTCGTGCCCCATCACTGCTCTGAATATAGACATATAACGACATATGGCGATTCCGCGACTCATAAGCTCGTGACGAGAACTCATTGAGCGCTGGTTTTTTAAATTTTTCAATAAGAGCCACAGTTAAAGTTCTTAAAAACTATGACTGTAACATTAGTACTTCTCTAACAGCTATCACTTGTAAAACCTGTAAACAAATGAAGTCTGTATGTGCTTTGAACTAACTTGACTCAAGAATGTATGCTACGTATTTTTAGTATCAATTTGATCCGTATTCACACACATAAATATATTCCTTTTTACTGTTAGAAAGTAGAACGTCTGAGGATTTGTTTTTTCCGATATCCTGATTCCTTTTTCAAGCTCGGTCGCCCTTTCTACATTGCCAAGCTTTATAAAATAACTGTATCTCATATTGTAAATTTATAGGTATAAATGAAGCAAAGATTTAATGTTTCGTGTCAAGTTTATTATTAATTACAGTATGTATGTTAAATATAAAGGCACAAACAATGAAAAGTAGTCATCTACTTTCTAGATACCCTCATGTCTATTTATACTTCATACCAGTACTACCTTCGTAGATGTCATTTAACGTTAAATACAAATTCTTAATACTAAAAATACTCATTATGACGTTAACTTAGATCTTTGATGCTGAACTTAAATAGATTCGTTATTTCTAAATATATTCACAACCCTATATAAGAAAATATACAACTCGAAGATAATTCATAAACATCCAATTCCTAACACGAAGGTAACACACATAAACGAGGAATGAAATGATATTACATTTTTATATTTCGTTTTATATAAATATGCATGTAATGTATATATTGTATGTATTGTATGTACCCTGACAAAAATTTCAACAATCATTAAACTCAGAGAATTTCCCTCTTCGACATTTGATCCATCTATCATATTCATCTATATATTTTCACATTTATAACATTTCTACTTCAACATCGAACGACCATTCATAGGTTCTACGAAAGTTTTTTTTCTTCATTTCGTATAGAAATGTGACATTAATTGCGAAAGAAAATATTCGCATTTGCGCACATGCTGTCGATAGTTTGATCCCCAGAATTAAATGAAAATTAGGCCTTGAACATGCTATGAAGTAGGTATAAGAATTGTTAAGAAATTTGGATCAGTTCTTGATTTCTTTCTTTTTTTTTTTGGAATGTTTTGTGCCATAAGATGTTGGAAGACATTACTCGATTCCTGTGCTGTGATTCATTTCTACAATGTAAAAACTTCCTTTTGTACTTTCACAGTTTCTAAGTTTAAAAAACGAATTTTGAAGTTTACGATCGTTTGACGATCACCGTTTCATTTTTCTTTCTCGAGACGTCGTATAAAATTTATCAACAATAAGAATGGATTATTTTCATTTCGATAGCACCCAGAAAGTATTTCTGAACTTTATACAAATGCTTTCTATCGACTAACGATGAAAAACGGTTCGTTTCACTCACGCTCTTCCTACTAAGACTAACTTTACAAAACAGTATCTTCAAACTCCCTTCGAATATGTAATTGTACACAAAGTTGAGCAGTTAAATAGACGTCTTAAATTAAATGTATCGGGACTGATCAATCGTTAGGCAAGAACGTTCACCTTATCAAATAAACACCTTAATTAAGATATCGTGGACCGACGATAAATACTAAAATACATTAGTAATAAATATAGGAAATACGAGACGCCTATTGCTTATTCGTATGATACCGTCGATTACCATAATGCAAATTGTTTCCGAATGGGTAAAATATTAATAAAAAGAAAAAAGATTTTAAATGATCTCTCAAATTATTTAGCTGAATATTTAGAGGTGTTCAGGGAAACGGTTGATGAATGAAATCTTCGGGATGGAGCTGGGCTTACTGGGGCTGAAGGTGAAGGTCCGGTTGGGGTGGTCGGTTTCGAGCCTCTCCTACTTCGTCTCATCGAGGAATACGGACTTGTTCCTCTGTTCACACGCTCGTGGGCGTAAAGTAACACGCCGATATCCCGATTGCCCGCTTCTAACGCGATTTTCAGAGCGGAACTACCATCTACATCGACGATCGATGGATCACAGTCTGGATGCGCGAGTAACAATCGCACGATGTCCGTGTGTCCGTGTTCGGCCGCGCACATTAAAGCCGTACTGCCATCCTCGTCCTGAATATTAACCGCGGCGCCGGCATCCAGAAGCAACTGAGTCATGTCTTTTCGACCATGGGATACCGCCAACATCAGGGCAGTCTGACCATGCTGAACAAGAAAAGTATTCCTCGTTTAACGTAACGTTCAACAGAATTCAGCAAATAAATGAATGATCGAAGTACTTACCAATTTTGCTCGAATATTAACGTCAGCAAGCTGGAACAACCTGTTAGCTACCGAGGCGTGAGTGGAGTTTCTGACCTCGGCAAGAGCTGCTAACATCACAGCCGTGTAACCAGCAGCATTTGCCTTATTAATATCGCAAACTTTTGAATCTAGAAGTATGGATACTACGTCGAAATTCCCGTGGGAAACTGCGTAATGCATCGCTGTATTCCCGCTAGAGTCAGTCATGTTGACGATGTACTCTAGAAGAGTACTGGAACATTCTTCGAAGCAATCTAGATAATCTTCTACCTCTAACGGATTAGCATTCGCCGTGCTCGAGATTTTGAACCATTCTAATTGAATGATATTGACAGCGTTTTTCATTTGATGGGAGATGTTTTTGCTGGGTGATTTCTTAAGGTTGTCGTTGAGCACCTTCATGGCGGCTTGCATCTCCTTCGAAGGTTCAACTTTTTTTCTGGGCTTTTCTTGGATAGGTTGAAACAGAGCGGATTCCGGCAGCTCGTGTTTCTCTTCGCTGTCTGCCTGCTTTTCCGTGCTGTATAATTCCTCCGACTTCTCATCCTTACTCTTCTCCCTTTGCAACTGTTGGATACTGTAAACGATATAAGGAGAGCACGATTAATACAAGGATCAGAGAAAGTCTGGCACAAGAATTCAATTACCCTTTCTCAACGAAACAAGCTGAATTTATTTCGGTGAGTCCGGTATCGTTAACTAGACGGCTAGCTTGTTGCTGTTGCTGCTGTTGCAGCATCGATTTCACCAGATAGGATACGCGATTTTATTCGTTCACCATAACGGACTGCCGATATTTTTAATGATACTTTTGTCACGGATCTCCGGTTTGACCTTTACACTCCGGACAAAAACACTTACGATTATGACGCATACGACGCGCATCCATGGAGTCTAAAAAAACCAACAAACATCCCTGACATGCGCTCGATTGTCACTAACTATCGAGTACATTGATCCTCCATGGCGCTCGTTTCTCTCTTTTCATCGAACTACCCTTAAAAAGCAAAATTTTCCACCCCAGAGATGGCGCTCGTTGTATTTTCCCGAACAACTCTTGAAATTTTTATTTAATAAGGGGAGAAGAATGGATAGGTCACTCTTGTTGGACTGTCTTAAGCTATACAACTCTAATTTTCTTAGACCTAATGACCACCAGAAAACCAATTCTCTATAATTTGAATATCATTTCTATAACAAAGATTCTTTAAATAATACTTATTTCGTTGAGACTGAGGGTAATTTAGTATTTCGTTGAGACTGAGGGTAATTAAGTAAATGAATGAGAATGACAAAGTTACTAACCGAATGCTGTTCTCATATTGCTCCTTGTTATCAGTATCGTATCTTATCACCCCGGCAGCCGGTATCTTCGTGTAGGTATCCTGTCGCTTAAACTGCTTCCTGTGATCGACTGAATTGTTCAACGGTATATGCGAAGGTCTTGGTATTCTCGAGACGAGATTCTGAGCGTTCTGATGATTCATATTGTTCTCGGCGTTGTTTACGATCTGCTTCGCCAGATTCTTTATAGTCTCTTTACAGTTATCGCAATAGTTCGCTGCGCAGGAGATGGAGATGTGCGGTCTGATCGACTCACCGACCGAGACGTCTGTAAATTTCTTTCGTATCGGCGACGTGCCGAACTCGCGTTTCTTTGGCGTTAAACCGGAAGTGTCGGTGCTCTTCGTGGTGGTCCTTACCAAATCGTCCACCATCACACTGACCGACCTCGTGCTTTTCCTTTTCACCTTCGTGTCACCGTAATTGAACGAGTGACTCCTTGAGTTCAACGAGAGCAAGGATAAAGACTGGGTGGTTATCGGATCCGGGCCGACGCCGATGGTCCTCGTCCCCGGACCGGTTCTGACCTCGATTCCGATCTCAGACACCCGCGGTTTCACAGTCACCCCCACGTTCGTCCGCATTTTAAACGGTTCCGCCACCTGCGTGAACTGATCCCTCTTCTCGATCGCCCTCGGCGGATCCGGTGTGCACTGACAACCCCTCGAAACAGTATCCTTGATCAGAGTATTCTTATAAATCCTGAGAGCGTCGTCGACGATGACTGCGACGTCGTCCTTCGTTAACACGTCTTTCATGTTCAAGCCGGTCACGGTTCCAGTGGATCGTTTCTTAATTTCCTTCTTCACTTCCGGTGGTATGTCCTCGATTATAAATTGGCTGTGGACCAAATCTTTCAGCCTGTTTCTCGTGTTTACCCCGAGGTCGCGAAATTTCTTCGCGTCTTTCACCAATTTCGGACTGATCGGTGGTATCGATTCTACTTGAAGTGGGCCCCTCTTCAAACGATTTCGCATCGTCTTTGTTTCCGGCGCGATTTCCTCGTACATCAGTTGGCTACGGGTCAACGTCGGCCTCCAACTGTCGCGAGAATCGCTCGAGTAGAGCTTGTCAAAGCTCGACGGTGTCCTATCGTCGAACAAGGAGCACTGGTCTTTGATTTCAGGTACTATTTCTTCGATCTGCAATCGACTCCGTTGCAATGATTGTTTTATAGGAGTACTGGTTATCATGCCGATATCTCGTGTTCGCACCTGATAAGTTAATAATGCGACGTTACTAAAGCGTGTGAAATCATCTATTCTATTCATTGACTCATTGTAATACTATTACGTATGTTCATAATAGTTCCTCAAGAAGGATGCGTATATTCATAATAGTTCCTAAAGAAAGAAAAGATAGCTCGCGGCTTACGGAATCTAATCAGACTTTCTCACCAATCCATTGAAAAGTAACATCGACTAACTATTTCGCGGAGGCAATTAAAAGCTACCCAAGCAAAGTATGCAAATTTATCCGCGGTCCGTTGAAGCTGGTTCGTAGGGTGTTACCGTTTTCCCCGTGTTGGTTGGAACGGAACGAAGTAGATCGAAGTCGCGATAAGTCTGCGAGAAAAAGGAAGCCGACAAACCGACAATAAAGTTCTTTAACAGAACACGTATTCAAACTCATATGTAGTCTTAAATTATAATTTTTCAAAATATTCATAAAAATTATCAATGTTTAATCGGGAGCCAAGTTGTATAAGAATTTATTCTAAATTTTAATCTTGCGACGTCAACAGTGGATGAAACGTTTTGTAAAGAAAAGAAATACGTGTCGGACTACTACGACTCCTATTGTAGTCCCAAGGAATTCTATTGTCTGAGCATGTTAGATGTATGTAAGTATACCTGTTGGTGCGAAACGCCGACATCCCTGGTCATTACGCCGCACATCGTTCCCATGTCTCTGGTCGGCGTGGGATTCCTCGGATTTCGCTGGGTGCCACGTTGTTCTGAGAAAGACTGGCTCCGGTACCTATGCAACCCTGCCTCATTGCACAGGTTCGTCTTCCTAAGCTCTTCAACTTGTCGCAGCAAATTCCGCTTCTCCTCTTTCAGCACCGACACTTGCACCTAAGATACACATAAAGTATAACGTGACGAGGGCTTGTTCGGCTCATCCTGGATGATCTCTAATATTTTAGGATCCAGGATTCTGTCTATGAGAAAATATTTCGTAAGTGGAAAACACGAATCTTTGTATTAAAGCGCAATAATGCATATCTGGACATTTAGAACTGAAAATTTTTTTAGTTTAAGATGTTCATTGTACTCTATAAGTAAAGATTGTTTTAAGGTCTAAATTTTTACTTCTTTATGTTTTTATGTTTATTTTTATTTATGACCACTCAGGGTACCATTAAGGGTTTTATTACTCTTTGTTTCTGCAACATTTTGTGTACTCAGTTCCAATGAAGATTATTAAACTCCAAGTTACAACCAAGTGTGAAATATTTATTGTTCATTCTAACAATAAGCATTTCGGTATTTTACGTGAACAACGAATCTAAATACTGCTACGTGCCGCACAGGTCGAGTAAAAGTTTCACGTGGCAATTAGCTGTTATATCAGACGATAAACGTAAACAATAGTCAGATTTGTTAATTTTATTTGATCCTCCGTTCGTTCAGAATTTGCTTCCGGACAAATGTCAGTGATGATCACGAGGCACGAAACGTGCCAACGCAGCGTCTAATGCAGTTACGTTACCTCTGAACGTAATTACACTTCCCTGACGGAAGTATCGCAATAAAAAGAAAGAATCTTACGTATGACTCATACATCGACAGAACAACACGTTAACTAACATTACCTTCTGCAAATTAAATTTCTCTTAGCGATCTTGACTTTTTATCTTAAAGGGTTGAATAACCCCAGCATCTACCATGTTTAAACGCAATTACGTTGGTGTTAAAAAAGCATTTAAACGTTATTAAAAAACGCATGACGCATCGTGTCGAAGGTAAAATCGCTGCGAATGTATTTACCTGCAACATGGGAATCGCCTTGACCTGTTCTTCCAACTCCCTCATTCGTTCCAACGAAGCTGCCATTTGCTCTCTGATGTTCTAGAAATACACGAGTTCGCGATAATGCCGTGGATTCTGTTGATTCTAGTTCCGTTTTGTATATGTGTACACTTGTTGCTCCTACCTGTAGCGCGCCGGTGCTGAGATTCGAGTTTCCACTACCGACGCTCGCGTTGTCGAAGTCACCCCCTGCCTGCTCCGGTTGCGCGTTGTTCTGCACCGGTGTGGCCGTATTCGTTCCATCTGCATAATTTCTGATTCTACATTTTTCCATTTAAAGATAATAAAAATACGAATGCTCTAATAATAATGAATGCTCTAAATACGTATTTGATTAAATGTAGTAAAATTAAATTGAATATTAATTAACAGTATTAATCAATATCAAGCTTATCACGAATTTCGAAACCGTACGATGCAAATATCAATTTCTCGGTTTAATTTGTAAATTGATATTGACAGAAAGTGAATATTTCGATACGTTAACAAAACTCGATATAAATTAAAAATATGAGAAATGTATAAAATTGTTGGTTTCGGATTTTGCCATTTTCGATGTGCAAATATTTTTCAGTATACATCCGGTAAATGTAATAAAACCCAGGTTTGAATTTCGTTCAAAACAGGAAATGCACAGCAATTTTATAATAAACATCTAAAATCTGTTTTTTATTTACAGTTCGAAAAAGCATTTCTGCCTACGTGTATATACGTGTTTCTAAAAACAATACTTGTTTTAATATGAATAAATTTCATTAGGTTCAACGTTGTTGAAGAACGTGAAAACTGCGCACGTGTCTACAGGAACACCTACTATGACTTCCTGCGTTCAACCCTCGTCCCTAACAATGCGTTCTTCAACGGACGGCCACGCGTTACGCAAGTATCGTTCACCTGCGCTGTCGTTCAATTTTTCTTTTAATTGATCGTTGCGTAAGGGGCTGCCGCATGAAAACGGGTTGGTACAACGAAGAACCGAGCCAGACATCCCGGCGCGGTGTTTTGTAGATACTCGCTCGTGACACACGATTCGCGGGCTCGGCCTAATGTCAAAGGATCCGTTGCGAAACGACCCGTCAGTCGTGTCCAATGTTTCCCAGTCAAATATACTATTTCCGAAGAGAATGAAAGTACCAAAATGTAGATTCCAATTAACATGCCTTGAATCCGATTACTCAAACACGAATCTGATAACAAGCTTTAAAGATTAGTGAAGGAAATAAGAAAACATGATCATGAACGCTGGATTCAGATTGAGATCACCTTTCTAATAAATTACTCCAGAGATGAACAAGATTCGAGAACCAGAAACTCTTTCAGATTCGTGTACAAGCTACATTAAAAAGCCCTTACACATTTATCAGATGATGTTCGAGCATCATTAAAAACAGGCGGAAGACGAAAAGGAGCATGCGAGCTTCGTTGGTGAAAAATTCTCGCCGGGAAGTCGGCCGCGTTCGCGGTTCGCGGTGTCCTTAAAAGGGTTGGACACGGTCCTTGCACGAGCCGTGACAACATGCAGCGCGAAGGATGCGACCATGTAAATAATGGCGCGTAATCGTTACGTTGCGCTTTATATGGGAGATACGCGCTGGTTTCTCGCGCGCGTTGCACATGTGGATTAGAACCGAGTTGCTCTTCGTTGAGAGAGAATAAAAAAAAAAAAGGAACGAGTCGTAGCGGCGCGACCATGTCGGCCGTGAAAGTCAAGTTAAAAGGAGCGCTCAGCTGCTCCGCGGCGACGGTTTCTTCCCTTTTCTCCTCGTTTGCTTTTTCGCTCATTTTTTTTTTTCATCCCGCGAATTAATCCTGTAGTTAATAGCTGGACGATCTCCGGAAGAAATCAGAGAGATTTCTGAAACGTCTCGGTGAGGAAAAAAAGGAACAGATGTTTCCTCGCGATTCCTGATACGCTCGTGCTAATCTCCGTGCATACCGATATTATCTTACAATAAACAGTCCAATTAAAAGATCAGAAGCTAAGGAAAGATCCTTTCGCGTTCAAATTTTCGTTCACTTTTCATCTACTGTTCTCATACAAATTATTCCTTCTTTCTTTCTTTCTGAGTAAGAGAAGAACGAATCACTGGGGTCAAAGTAACTGAACACGCGTCCCCTGATATCGGTATGATAATGTATTTTAACTTTCGTTTGGCCCCGAGATAAGGTATCTTTTAATTACTCTCGATGCGACGTACATTTAGTGGGCACTAAAAGTATATACTGATACATTTATTGTATTTAATCCGAAATTTACGTCGTGTTAATGTCATAAAACACCTCGTGGAAAAATAGTAGCACGCGTTAATGTTTTTCGTAGCTGCTGTAGTGGAAGTCTGAGGGAAAACCGTAGCGTTCATAGCAGTAAACTTCGAAATGAAATTCTAGGTAACCGATTATGCAGCGCGACATGCAAACAGCAGGCGATAATAATTGTAGTAAAAACATGACCCCGAGAAAATCGTACTGACGTAAGAATTTGTTATCGTTCGCTGGTGTATCACGACAAAAGAGGAAACAGAAGCATGCATAAGGTTTTCGCGACTATTTGCAATCAAACTCCTAGTTCAATGAGTAAAATTCATATGTTTCACGTAAAGAACAAGAACTCACGATATTTCCTCTTTGTCTTCATCTTGCAAAAGGGTATCCTTTTCATGATAAACTTTTTCACTCCCATTTTGACACTTGTTCACTGCACTTCAAAGATTGAAATCGATTTAACAAAATCGAACACTTATTCACAGAGATAAATCAAGTAAATCATCTGGCAGCAGTTTTCAATTTTTCCGCGCGCATTCAGAGTCGCTTCATCTGGTTTAATTAATACTTTTTGTCACATCAGCGATTAATAGAGAAGTGATCATTCTCTCTTGGAAGAATTGTGTTCTCCGTCATGCGACGAAGTCGAAAGTTTCGTTCGTTCGTTGCCCCACCGGTTGCTCGATCAGCGGATCGATGAATCCGTGCGAAAATCGTGGTAAAGTCGCGATGCCTCGGAAGCGGTGACACAGAGCTGCCGGTAGTCGTCGATCGGGACCGAGGCACGATTGCGTGCCGTGTCGCAGTGTACTCGTTGTTACTTTTTCGAGCATTCGTGCCGCGATCTGTTTCTCAGCGGCCACTGTTTGCGTTTGACTGTGACGCCGAACTCTGGGCTATAGCCAACCAGGACTACTGGCGATGAGGTGAATGGAGAGGGGAAGTGTGCCTCTTCCCTGCTGTTGCCTTTGCCCACCGTCACTGTGTTCTACACGACGTAGTATTGTGTATGTTAGAATGTCCGTAAATTTCTTAATCGTCGCGGAAAATCCACTTCACCCTCAACCATTAGCATGGCAGACTTTCATTTTGAATGCTCATAATGCAACTTTGATGCCTATCTTATCTTCGAGAACTTCGTTTTAATCCGACCTTCTGTTATAATTGTTTTAATGAAATTGTTTAGAAATCATTTCTTATCTTGTATTGCACAACGATGATGGAAAATCCTAATGTCATTTTAGAAAGTTCTTATATCTCATATGGATTTCATCTTCGTTTTTTTACATACAAGGTATTCGGTTACTGGTGGGAAAAATTTTTATTCTGATTCTGAACGTGAAAATATGGCAAAAATCAAAAATAACAAATTATTTTGTCCATTTGATGCTTACAAGAGATGAAAAATTGTTCCTGTCAGCACAGATTCTCAAGTAAAACGCACCGCGAACAGCCTAAATGCTAATATATTTTATGACAGTTACCGTTACTTGGACACATTGTACTTTGGGGACCACTACCTGAGCCAGTCCTCTGACCAGCAATAATCCTCAAAATGCAAAGGTCACTACTAGCAGGTATCTTAGTACTTAGAGTTTCAAGCGGACGCTAGCTCTGAGAACTACAAGCTGTAGGCAAGAATTTAACAAAAATTTAATCACTAATACCTAAAAAATGTAACGTCGGACACAATTTTTGTGTTCTTAAATTTTGCCTTGTTTTGGCTGAAGAAATGGCTCTAGAATCGTTCTTTCAAAATTTGTACTATCAGTATCTGAGTTATATAAAATTTTGTACGACAGTCGATTAAAAATGTTCATTCGACCGCCACTTTCACGTGTCACCTGTTTCTCCGTGTCGCATCGTTATCATCGCGTCCCATCAATCGTCGACGTTTAAATGCTCGATTTTAGAGCTCGCTTTTATGGGAAACAGTTGCAGCAGTTGCGTGCACGCTTAGGCAGGTGCACACCGCCATATGCGACCACCTTGCTCCGACAAGGTCTTGCACGAAAATGGTTTAGCGTTCCCAATGCACGTCATACCTTCGAAACGGAGTTAAATGGAGTGACTCCGCGTCGGCTGCACAGCGCAGTGTGCGAAGTCTCGTATGAAGAGCTAAGCAATTTCTCTCTCCTCTTCGATTGCCTCGGACCCAGCCGAGGGACGCTTTTCCGATATTGAACGCGTGTATTTTCGTACGTGGAATCGCGGCCTCGACGAATCCGTGTCACGCGTTTATGTACGAACGGGTTATTTCCGTGCGGGTTAAGCGATTTTTGGCAGCCACCCTTTTTTCTTCACGAACGAGTAAATCAATCAAAGTCAAATGATAAATATTGTTTTATACGTTGTCCAGCATATGAAGATTTATATGTGAGCAAATTGCATGCACGATGCATTGATAGAAATGAAAGGAAATCCCAACGCAAGGGTTAAACAGGATGCTGCTGAACGTTCTTGTAAAATCCAATTACTATCTCCAACGCGCGCTTCCAATATTTCCGTCACGCAACAGCAAAATTACGAGGGTCACGGAATACTCTATTGTACGTTGCTTTACTTTCTAAGCCTCCCAGCAACGGTGTTTCATGTACATTGCACTTTCTGACCACTTTCGAAATTTTGGTTACGCGCAACATGTCGCTCGATACTCAATAAGACGAGTTAAACTTCTCTTACAGACATTGTTTCATGACGAAGCTAATAAATGAAGCGTGCTAATCGTATTTGATACACTTTCACGAGAAGTCGCTTGTCTCGAAGTTGTAGGTAAAAGTCAAGCTCTATTAGTCTAATGGGACTGCGTTTTCTTTGCAATGATAATCGTTTATATAAAACTAGTTTACTATTCTACAAAAGAAGAAGATGTTTCAGGATGATATATAGACCGTAAAGTCGATTCTAGAATCGTTCTTTAAAAATTTGTACTATCAGTATCTGAGTTATATAAAATTTTGTACGACAGTCGATTAAAAATGTTCATTCGACCGCCACTTTCACGTGTCACCTGTTTCTCCGTGTCGCATCGTTATCATCGCGTCCCATCAATCGTCGACGTTTAAATGCTCGATTTTAGAGCTCGCTTTTATGGGAAACAGTTGCAGCAGTTGCGTGCACGCTTAGGCAGGTGCACACCGCCATATGCGACCACCTTGCTCCGACAAGGTCTTGCACGAAAATGGTTTAGCGTTCCCAATGCACGTCATACCTTCGAAACGGAGTTAAATGGAGTGACTCCGCGTCGGCTGCACAGCGCAGTGTGCGAAGTCTCGTATGAAGAGCTAAGCAATTTCTCTCTCCTCTTCGATTGCCTCGGACCCAGCCGAGGGACGCTTTTCCGATATTGAACGCGTGTATTTTCGTACGTGGAATCGCGGCCTCGACGAATCCGTGTCACGCGTTTATGTACGAACGGGTTATTTCCGTGCGGGTTAAGCGATTTTTGGCAGCCACCCTTTTTTCTTCACGAACGAGTAAATCAATCAAAGTCAAATGATAAATATTGTTTTATACGTTGTCCAGCATATGAAGATTTATATGTGAGCAAATTGCATGCACGATGCATTGATAGAAATGAAAGGAAATCCCAACGCAAGGGTTAAACAGGATGCTGCTGAACGTTCTTGTAAAATCCAATTACTATCTCCAACGCGCGCTTCCAATATTTCCGTCACGCAACAGCAAAATTACGAGGGTCACGGAATACTCTATTGTACGTTGCTTTACTTTCTAAGCCTCCCAGCAACGGTGTTTCATGTACATTGCACTTTCTGACCACTTTCGAAATTTTGGTTACGCGCAACATGTCGCTCGATACTCAATAAGACGAGTTAAACTTCTCTTACAGACATTGTTTCATGACGAAGCTAATAAATGAAGCGTGCTAATCGTATTTGATACACTTTCACGAGAAGTCGCTTGTCTCGAAGTTGTAGGTAAAAGTCAAGCTCTATTAGTCTAATGGGACTGCGTTTTCTTTGCAATGATAATCGTTTATATAAAACTAGTTTACTATTCTACAAAAGAAGAAGATGTTTCAGGATGATATATAGACCGTAAAGTCGAATCATTTGTATATTTAAGAAGAGTGCCATAAAGTGATTGTAGTTTTTGTCGAGACTTTCAAATAATTTCGTACCAGTCGAATAAAATCGCTACAATTTAAGAGGGTAAACGTCACAATTTCTAGTCATTGGCTTATTTTTCTACAATTCTAAGATACCATATAAAATTGTATAAAAACACGTCAGTGATTAAAAATTGATATTTACCTTACTTTCAACCGTGGAAACTCAATGACTCATTCCAATGCTTTGTAAAACGGATCAGCCCCTTATTATAATCTCTGTATTCACAAAAAGGACAAAGTTCAACGATACGACTGGAAGAGGCAAAGTTCGCGTGCGAAACGAAGGGCACGCAACAGAAGAAGAAAGGAGAGCATACAATGGTTTTCGCATTCCGATTTGCTGGCGTGCAGATCCGACTGTTCGCCACGGAAACCGAATGACGGTCGAGCAAATCGGTGGGTGGACGTCCACTGCGGTGTACAACGCAGGACGTTAAACGCAACAACGTGGGGTGTAACACAGGTGCCGTTTTCAGTGCAACCGACGCGTCGGGAAGCACGAGCCACCGGAAGCAGATGGTTCCAGCCACGCACCGGCGACCTCGCCGTGATGTTCGCGCTCGCGCGAAGAAGAAACGTCCGTGGCTATCTTTAAGCCCCGATTTACGGCTCGGTCGGTCCCGCGATTTACTCACCGCGGAAACTGTATCGAACAACCGTTCCTCGCGATTACTTTAGCTTAACGGTGTAACCGGACTCCTGCTGGTAACGTTATGCCCCGCGTTACAGATTATTATTAGGCTAATAACATTCTCCCGGAACGGAGGACGTTGATGACTCGATCCTTCCACAATCGTCCTTGTTTCTAATTTCTTAGAAGTATATTATGCATTAGATATGATTGAATTCATGTATGAAACTTCATATAAAAGTAGCAGGATGAGTTTTCAGATGACAAAGAGTTATTGTTTGGTTCTCATCAGTCGATTTATCAGAGAACAAGATCAAAGGGAAAAACGGTCTCGTTTCTAGAAGCTTTCCATTGTCTGACGACCGATAAGACAGGAAATGGGAGTAGGATGGTGTCGGCTTGCGAAACGTGAGAATCTTCCTGCGAACGAATAGATCGTCGCCTCGGGATAGAGTTCGCGGTTTCGTGAGAAACGACGCGGTTGTCGCGTTTCGTCAACCGAAACGTCAACCCCCGGCGGGTCTACAATGGGAGTGAAAACCGTGCGAAGTCGGATCGGTGGCACGATGAACCGAGGATCAGTGAAATCGTCCTCACGATCATGTTTAATGAGAGTAATACGACGTGTCCTTAAGTGACGAGACGTTGCTCTCTCATTGCAGCTGATCTAATGTAGTTTCTAATAGAAATTCGTTATAAAATTCTAGTAGAGAGTTCTAATAAGAAAGTTGACCAGAGGAGATTTGCATGCATACACCACCGAAAACATTACACATTTATAACGACCGTCTATATCTGATTGATACTTACGATCGCTGTACAGTTAAAAAATCCTGTAAATTTGTGATACATTTTCCCTTCCTAGTCGAAACAACCGAAAAAGCAGGAAACGAAGCGCGCGTTTCGTCGGCACGAGGAAACACGCGACGGGCGATCTATACATATGCAACGAAGAGAAATTTTCATATTCCATCGCTACATTCCAAATTGGCTATAATTACACGGCGCGTTGTTGCGTTATAATTTCGAGTGTGCCGTAATCACGAATCGTTGAGCCCGGCCAGACTGCGACGGAGGTACATAATTTCAATGAGAATGCAAACGCAATGCGGACGATTTTTCTATGCTTCATTTTCTTCCTGATTCACTTATGGCCTTCCCGTTTGTTTTCCTTCCTTTGTTTCACGCTCGCCCGTTAAAAGCATATTAATTTCGCGTTGCGAAACTTCAAGAGGTAATTACGGCCGAGGGGAACTCGTTAAGCGTGGGCCAGCGGTTTATTTAGTCAGCGTGCGCGGAGCGTTTCGGTGAAGTGACGGCTCAAAAGTGAAGGAAGCCATTTCTCTTTACGGCATTATTGTGTAGCAGGTCATTAGGCCATAGAGAATTCAAAGATGGCCGAGCGGATTCAGCGCGAGGAAATCAAATGTGCGTGAAATTATTGGATTTCTTTCCTTATGCTTTTTACTTATTTCTTTGTTCTTTCACTTCGTTCGGGTTAATCTTTAGTTAC